ACCACCATATTCCCCATTCCTCAACCCAACTGAGGAGTTCTTCAGAGGTGGAAGGTATATGACCGTAACCCACATACACAAATGACACTGCTTGCTGCCATGGAAGCTGTGTGTGAGGATATAGCAGCAGGCACCCGCAGAGGCTGGATAAGACATTCTAGGAGGATCTCTTCACGCTACATTGCAAAGGAAGATATCCGTTGTGATGTGGAAGAGAACATGTGGCCCAATATACAGGATCACCTGAACTGTAGAAAGCATTTAGAGTTTCAGTATGTATATATTGTTCCCCTTTTTGATTTTGTAATTGTTTTTTGTTTCATTTCATATGTTATGCATAAAGCATTGAGATGCATTTTTTTGCTAGACTGCAATTGCAGTGCCTGGTATGTCACCATATACCTGTGCAATCAATAAAATATTCTTCTTGAATCAATCTCCCGCAATCAGTGTTTTTTACTTTTATGTTTCCTGCCCTTGTCATTCAGATGGTTTGTGTCAGAAAATGTTTACATTGTGCCAATTTTATACTGATAACATGACTTTATATTTTGGCTCACATGTCCGTGGATGATGATTCATGGACTCGGGATTTTGATGGCACTGACATATTCAATGATATAAATACTTGCTTTTGAGGCATGGACTAAGGATTTTGAAGAGGATACCTGCTTTTGCTGGTCATCCATGATATTTTGCCATTTGCACAAGTGTTTTGCATTCGCATTCGCTGTTATGCAAATGCTAAGTCTGTTGTGAGAAATACACCAAAGCAACTGAGAAAAACTGTACTTCCCTAACTACAGGAATGTCTAACTTTACTGTAGATTTTACTGTAAATGGCTGTACAAAAAGTGTGCTGTCTTGAGCATTTTCAGGTAGTGTCACTGAGTTCTGACCTTTTTTTGCATTGGAAAACACTAAGAGAATACTGTAAACTGTCATAATGAAAACATGACAAAGCCATTTGACTATCATGTTCATAAAGATGGTGTCAAGACTTCTCATTTTGATGACACTGGCAGTTTCATTGACATGAATACTTGCTTTTGAGTAATGGATTATCAATTTTGAGCAAGTGACCTGCTTTTGCAGGTTATCCACTAGGTTTTGCAGTTTGCACCAATTGTTTTGAGAAATACACTAGCTGCTGTGCAAATGCTAATAGTGATGTGAGAAAAGCACCAAAGCAACTGAGAAAAACTGTAAAATTCTCTAGCTATTTTGCTCTTTGTTAGTGTCTCCTGTTCCTCATGCAGCCTGTGTAATAGTACAGATGTGGCTGTACTGTGCTGTTATAAAGCATGTAAGACTTTAATGTTCAAACCCACCATCTCATTCAGCCCTTTGGTCCAGCTGCCTCTGTATGTAGGACTGAGCTTATTCTTGCTGCTGTTGATCATCATCTTCATCATCATCACATGGAAAGTGCTGGACAAATACAGTGAGTATCTGCTGATGCAGACGGTGTATAAGTGACCTGACTGTCTGACCAGTGCTGCGTGTCCCTCTGCACTCCTGCAAGCAGCAGCTAAACCTTCATGCTTTTATCCTTTTCCAAAGACGGCTGGACAGGGGCTCAGGCAGCAGGATTCAGACACACGGGTTTATGCAGTGAAATCAAAAGAGAATGTTGTCTTGTCCCCTTTGAGAACACAGACTAAACATAGTGCAGAACTA